CGATTCTATGACGATTCTATGACGATTCTATGAGGGTCTTTTCCCGATTCTATGATTCTATGATTCTATGATTCTATGATTCTAAGTTACCATTAGTTGCTGACATTAGCTATCCTATGCACATACAGTTTTTTGCTTGTCTTGCTTGGTAGCACATTCACAGAAGTGTTCCTCAGTGTTTCATTTTAGTGTAGACCCTCCTTTTGAAGGTGTCTAACGGAGCATTCACAAGTGTGCTGAAGCTTCTCTTTGAAATTTCTTTTGTTATAAATGTAATTACGTACAGAAGATACGAGTATTGCATAAAGGTGAGGAAAAATCAAAATTCAAACATGACTGCATACAAAACCAATATATAAATATCTGCTTCTGTCTTTATACATAGATATAAATTTTTTCCTTCCCCCAAAAGTCACTTTATCTGTGAAAAATAGATTGCCATCATTGCCAGCAAACTTGAAGATATGTATTGCAGCCCCATTTGAAGCCTTTGCTCATCGGTTTTAATTAGAAGTGCCAGCTGTGTGTCTTCCCTGGAAAGCTGAGGCAGCTTTGGTAGTGAGACTCTGGCAGTTGCAACTGTGAGTGGGTGTCGCAGATGGAGAGACACACTTCATTTGTGAGAGAGAAGCAGCAATGTGTTTATTGATATAAAGCAGCGATTTAACAAAGTTTAATAGTAAATGCGACAGTGGTTTAACAAGATTTGATGGCAAGGTACACTTGATTATTTACTGCATAGAGGACAGGGTCAGACTAAACTGTCAGGGAGACCCTCCCGTTGGGTCACGAGATTCAGAGAGGACGCTCTTGCTTTCTAAACTCCTTCCCTTAGAGGAGTCTAGGTGTGGCTGGATCCAAACTTAGTCCTGGACTTGGTTGACACTTAATGTCTAAAGGATTATATGTGCACAATCAATCTAGGAAATAATCTTATCGAAGCTTACAAAGTTTAGCAAGCTATTAGTCACAAGGATCTGTTGCAGCAAGGAGTCTCTCAATATCGAGTAGTAAGGAATCTCTGCGGCAGGCGTAACCTTGAGAGGCGTCCCTACCCAAGGGGAGATCTTGGTGTGCAGCCCGCTGCCGTGCAGGAGAGCTTGAAGAGCTCTTGGGCTGCTCGCTATTTAGGAGGGTAAGGTGATTGACTCATAGTCATATTTGCATACCGACCACAGATTTTAGTTTCTACCAGATTTGGCTTGAGTTGGACATTGACCAGCACTGTGGTTAGGCGGATGCATTGCTCACATTAGCCCTTGGCTATTGTGTTGTTATCTGTCTCCCGACTCCACTTTGAGCCAGATGCAGCCATCACGACCAGACACATCCATCAGGACGGCCACTGGTGGTTATCCCTTGAGCAGGGTTACTGGAGATAAGCTGCAGGTTGAGGAGCGGGGGAAGCACATTGTCACAGTGGGAAGCAGCAAAAAGCCCACCCAGATGCAGCTGAGAGGATTAACATGAATTCTGAGGGTGTTTTCACTGCATCTTCTTGTCAGGAAATGAAATAAGGCATGGCTTGTTCCTGGAGGCTTTCAGTCTGTCCTGAAGTATTTTGTTATCTCTCTAAGGTAAAGCCTGGCCCCACCGTGTCAAGGAACGTTTTGGCACTGATTGCAGTGGGGCCAAGACATTGTTTCCTTCCCCTTTACGACATTCCAGAGTAGATTTATCTTTCTCTAGATGTCAATGAACAAATGAAGTCTTCAATATGAGAAGTAAAATGGAACATTTTTAACTGAACCGTGCTTCCTGGAGGCCCAAGTAACAAACCGGACACTTGTTACTCTATTATCATCAAGTCTCTTGGAAAGAAAAGAGCATTGAGCAAGTCAGTGACTCCGCAACAAAATGAACGCTTTTTAAAATTATTTTCTACATGCAGAATTAAATCTTGTTTTCCTTCTATGTGTTACATCTTCAGTTTATAATAAGAATGAAGCTTCCAAGCTAGTTATATTCAGCTAGTTAAAACAGGCTCTTCCCTTCCTTCTTGCTTGGAAAATGACTGTAACATACAACTTCATGGGATTCCTCTCTGTCTGTCTGGATAGTTTCCAAGGTAGAATTTCTGTCTAGAAAGAGAAGATTTCTGGGAGGAGTGAAGGGACAGCCCGGACCGATCAATCTGACTCACCTCTCTAAAGCGTTCTCTAAAAAAGCTTTTCAGAGTAAAACTGAACTTTATCATTCTTCACTCAAAACTGGTATCTTTATTTCTTATAATTAGATGTTCTTTGATAAGAACATTATTATTTGCTAATACGGATTGTGGATTTATAATGTCCTTAAGTATGTGGCTGTGCTATAAATGTTTGTTAATATAAGCTTCACCTATACCGCCATGTTATGCACGAGCCTAACTCCTCAAGACATGCTAATTTGCACTTAGGCTCCATTCTGGATAAAGTTAAATAGTGTATTTGGCAGGGTCATCCAGGTGTAGCTTAGGTACTGATGCCAGGGCCAAATCCCTATATGCAATATTATCTATTAAAAAACCCCAAAAATAATTACATATTTTTCAGAAAAAAATAGAAAAATATAAATGGAATATAAACAGGAGGTGAAACTTCCTGTTGGTGTGGTAAACTTCCTGTTGGTGTGTTTTCCCTGCAGCATTCAAAAGCCTATTTTTTTTCCATTGCAGAGCTTTACAATTACAGGAAATGAGCAGGCAGTAGAGCTAATTAAGAAGGCCTGCTGCAACAGGTGATCAAGATCAGGCAGTGATAAAGAAAATTCACCACCATGGAAGTTTTTAGTTTCACTGTTATCTTTTTGCTCATCTGTTCAAGCTGATAAGCAGCTGAAGTCATTCCGATGGACTCCTTTGTTATGTGCAGGTAGCTCCAAAATGCTAATTGCTTCCCAGATTTTAAAGGATATTGTCCTTGCCTTGAGAAACTAATTGACTGAAACTAAATATTTTAGTCCAGAGCTTGCTCTAGGCTCCACTGAAAGATATATTGTCAAGTGAGACCTAAAAAACTAAGCTGAATTTCTGATCAAAACTTCCATTCCCTTTTTGTCTCTTTGATACTGCCAGGTACGAAGGTTTGGTATTGTCACTCCAGCTGCCAAATGCCCTTAAGGCGTTTGGTAATAATTTGACATAGTACATGCTGAGATCTTTGTGAATGCTTATTATTTTACACACGTGACTCTTCTTAATGAACAACAACACATGAAAACTCCCATCGTGACAGATGTATTTATTTAAATGCACTTAAGCAAAAGTAACAAAGTGTATTTCAAAACAAATCTGCTGAGGGTTACAACTATCAGCTTTTACATACAATTCACACAGATTGCAATAAGAGCACAGAATAAGACTCTTGTTATGTCAGTAGGGTTAAAAGACTGCCAACGTTGCAAATGATTTGTTTCATTAAAACCCTGATTCGCTTGCGTTTGTTTCATCCACAAATCCTAAACTGAGGGGATTCTGACCTCCTTGCCCGAATCTGACGCTATTGCCTCTGTTTGTGTTAACGTACTTGTGTATCATGCTGTAATACTGCTCTTGTGAATCGAAGGTATACAAGCACGAAATCTTCCGCCAGTCTTCATTGCTGGGAGTCTGAAACGGTGCTGGGTCAGTGGCTTCAAAAAAGCAATTTGTATTTATTTCTGCCAGCCTGGCTGCATGCTCTTTAGCCTTGCTCTCAAAGACCTCCTGTTCCTTGTTCAAGTAAATTTTCCAGAACTTGAGCTGAAGATAGCTAACTGGGGAGTAACAGCGGCTGACACATGTTGAAATCAGTGCCACAGTCATGATGCTGGCTATCAGAAGCCATCCTATCATCTTGGGAAAGAGACAGATAGGTTAACAGTGGTTTTGCATGGGCATATGTAGGAGTATAGAACTTAACATTGAAGCAGACATGAAAACTGTAAGCGAAGACACCCTGCAGTGCCTGTAACAGTCTGCTCGCCGTGGAAAGGGAGGATCCCATGCACACAATTCAGCCAGCCTGACAGAGCTTCTGTACCCCTGAGCTGATCTTGTTGGATTGAGGATGAATACCAATAAAAGATAAGTTGAAGTTCTTTCCGCAGTTGTATCCAGTTTTCTTAACTTTAAAGGCAAGACACTGACCAGCAGTTTCTGCGGTTGCGGTCAGATTTACGGTACAGCGGGTGCAGAATCACCCAGTCCACCTCTGGTGCTGTGTATGAGACTGCCTGCTGGCTGTGTTTTATCTGTTCTTGGAAAGTACCTCTCCTCCCTGATGTCTGAGCCTGCAAAAAATAGCCGATTGCCACAGCACACAGGAAAAGTTGTGTCCTGTATGTTTTGTAAGCAGGACACGGATTTGGCTAGCAGATATGGGAATTCCTTCTTGCGTTATACATGATTTTAACATCCCTAAATAAGTCTCATAGGCCCCACCTAAAGCGGGTGTCCTAGTAGGTGCTGGTGCCTCCAACACCCAGTGGTACTTAGATGGAAGCTCCAGGCAGAGATCTCACAGCGTCCCCTTTCACCTCAAGCTGATTTTTTTTTTCAAGTGAAAAACATTAAGTGCTAAAGAAAAATGAGTTTGTGTTCTTTTTGGCTCTTAATTTTGTTGAAAGTAGATCAGATATTAAAAATAATGATCAGTAATAAAAATGGTCTCACACTTTTTCTGTTTTTGTTTGACTAGTTTGTTTCTTTCAGATTTCATTGCAATAAATATTGGTAACTGTCAGTCTTCATTGATTTTGCTCCTTTCTTACCCTATCTGAATTCAATGGTAGAGAGTTTGCCCCTTTTCAGTCTTTTTCTTGGAGGAGCCGCATGCTAAATATTTAACAAATATAAACACTTTTTTTTGTTTTAATAAGCATTTGTACTAAACAGGAACTTAGAAAAATCTAAGTAATTACAATGTCTTATAAACTTAACTCCATTAACCAGCCTTAATGTTTTCCTGAGAAAAAGTGATAAAAACTGATTTTCCTACTGGATTTAAGACGACAACCAAACAAATCCAGAAACAAAGCTGGCGTGCTGCCAAAATTCGTGGGTTTCATTTCACTCCAAACAAAAAAATCCACACACAAGTGCTATTTTTTTGATCATGCAGTTTGCCTTCAGCACAAGAACACTTTAACGAGACAGATACATATTTTAACTACTCTTCTAGAACGCATGTGTGAAATTATTAATAGGTTCAAGTGTTGAGATTCATAGTTGAACAAGCTGTCCTGATTTGTTTCACTTGGCAGCTCTCTGTTGCAAGGAGACATGAGCTTCCTCTCTGTTCATGACCTCAGCTTCCCCTCAACTAATGAGTACTTACAAAAATTTGAGATATTTAAAGGGGTAAAAGCAGAAAAAGAGAAGAACTCACACCATAGCTAAGTTAAAGGAGAAGAAAACTTGCTGTGTAAAGTCCTGGTCTCTAGGCTGGTTCCCTGCCCAGCTTTGAAAGAGGTTTTGTAAATAGTGCCAAACAATTGCCATGCAAACATGCAAAACCAGAAAATAGCACAAATCCACACTTATTAGCTTTCTGTTGCTAATGAATTTTTGCTAATCGTGTGCTTTTGGTAATTATATAGCATGAGAGAGAAGGACTGTTTACAGTCCCCAGCAGGCACCACCACACATTGAGCAGCCAGGGTTGAAGCCCATAGAGTGAAGAGTGGCAAGGCTTTACCTGGGACTGTGCCTGAAGGTTGGGGAATTCATTCGGTTTCTTGCTCAATGCCGTCTCGTTGCAGGGTATTTTGACCAGCATCCTGGGGCAGTCTTTTTTATCTTTACACATGAAGTTTCTTATCGTGTCGCTCCCGCTGGCCGCGCATTTGTAGAAGCTGGCTCCGAGCAGGGCCACCGCGATCCAGGTGAGGAGGGCCACCGCGGCTCTGTCACCGGCACCAAGACGTGGCAGTAGTGGGTGCAGGTCCCCTGGGGGCTGCAGCTGCAGCGCTCCTCCGAAGGGCAGCTGCCTGTCAGCAGGCGCCACATCCTGGCATTCACCATGTAGCCAAGCAGAAAGAGGATGAAGTCAGGCACTAGGAGGAAGACAGAGCCACACAGCATGTTGTTAGAATCGCAGGGACACTTGAACACCACAGTGGAGAAGATGTGCTCGCTGGCAGCTGTCATCAGGGACACAATGCTGTAACCCAGAACGGTCTGGTGGCAGATGCAGAAATCCAGCACCTTGTGTAACTTATCCATTTTCTGCCTTCCCTTACTTTGAGGAGAGCAAAATCTCAGTCAGAAAGGAAAAGAGAAAGACAAGTGCCCTGAAGCTCCCATGGCTTATAGGAACTTGCAGAGCTTTCACTTTCTGTTGGTGGTGGTGGTGCAGTGAGGCATAAAAGCAGCTGTCCTTGGATGAAACAGAAGAGCATGGGCCCACTGCACAGTATCAAGGTCAAGTGGAGACCACAGTGGAAACCCACCCCAGTAATCAACATTAAAACAAAAGATCTATCTTTGTTTCTATAAAAAGACTTTATATTTGTCCACACATGCATTGCAACTAGCAATGACTTAAACCTCATCATCTTTTCAGTGAAGATTTTCAGTGAGGCAGCAGATTCAAAGTGTGAATAAAATGTGAGAAAACCACCCAGAACTGTGCACAGTTTTTTATCGTGCCTTATTATTAGCAGTACAATATGGCTTGTTCTCTTATGGAAGAAAATTCACCTATAATCATGTTAATTTTTCAAGCTAATCAATTAATCTTCTTAAAGTAGTTAGGGCAAATGAGCCAGCGCACACACACAGCAATGACCCAGCAAGCGGTTTCCACTGAAGCTCCAGCTACCAGAGTACCATCTGCCAGGAACCAGACTTTGGACTCCCTTCTCCAAGCAGGTAGTGGCAGCTCTGTAGCCCAGAAAAAAAACCCATCCCTAAACCAGCAGAAACTAAGCAGATGGCATGAAGTGGAAAAATGATGGAAAAGGCTTGCATAATGAAAGAAAAAAATCTGGAAGGGATTCCTGGGCTTGGAAGACTGAGCTGCCTATGAAAACACTTGCTCCATAGGTTTCATTCATGCCCTGAGGGAACTCGACCAGGCTCCTAGCTAAGGTTTGTCTTGTCTAAATCTAGATGAGGTGAACCAGCACTCAGAATTAAGGAAGGTGAAGCTTTGTTACTTGCTCATAGCCATGTAGCTGAGGCTCTCTGAGGCAAGGTAGGCAGTGCGGTAGTTTGCTGTCGTCACATGCTTGGTGACAGCCAGATGTGCAGCCAGCCGGGAAGCTGGTGGTCACTGTCATCTTCTCTGCCACAACCACTTACCCAGGATTTTAGAGTCAAAATCACTTGCCTCTTGCATGAACTGGGAGCTCTCTGGCCTCACTGGGTGCATCAGCAATATGAATTCATCCTGATCAGATTTTGAATGCTGTAATTTATACTGCACTGATTCTTCCTGGGCATTATCATGGCACAGAGGTTAACCAGAAAGCCAGAACTTCACCCCAGGCTCAGGCAAACATTGTCCCCAGCTGGGCCAGCCTGATTTTGGTACTGGCTACTTCAAGTAAGACAGCAAGGCGTGATGCTGCCTGCATCACTCCATGCCATACCTGGGGCTGCAGGAGCCAAGCATGGTGGAAGCACAGTGGCTTGTCAAAACTCTGTGAGAACCTAAATTACTTTCAATGAACTTTGGGGGTTATTTAAACCTTCCACAGGGTCCTTGCAGCTTTTTGGGCAGCTGAGTAGATGGCACGGAGGTGCCAGAGCAGGCAGCACTGGTGCGGGTGGCCGCCAGGCTTGCCCAAGATGTGCTGTGTTCAGCACCGAGCTGCTGCTGCAGAGGAAAATATGCCACTGACTGAAATGCTTGCCTTGGTCTGGAGGAGACTTTGCTTTGTTATTATGCAGCAGTATAATACAAAGACATAAACCCAAAAAGGATGTAAAAGCAGCAAGAGTGAATCAGAATGAAGGTTGAGTTAGCCTGGTCACCTCTTGATCACAGCAGATAGCTGCGGAGAAGCACAGGGACAGGGGAAGCAAGCTCAGGAATGCACGCCCCGTGAATCTGCATTTCAGGGATTTCCTTTGCATCTAACACCTGTTGAGGTAAATTTGTCTGGTTTCAGTTTTAAACCATGCAGACTTTTTAACATTCAAAACATTGTATAGCAAGTGTGGTTAACCTTCATGCAAACCTGACACCACCCCATTCGATGCCCCCAAATTCTGGAAGGGGAAGAGATAAAACAGTGGATCCCTACCTAGTGTCTCCATCAACTCATGATCTTGTACACCTTCATCATAGCCCTCTCTTTTCCAGGCTGAGGAGCCCCTAATATATTTAGTCATTCCTTGTCTGATGTATACCTTTGTATACTTTTTTTTTTAATCCATGTTGCCACCTGCGCCATTCTTTAGGATTCAGGTATCATTTTTTACATGAGGGGAAATGGGGGGTATACCAGATTTGCAGTGCATTGAAGGCGCAGCTGAATCACAGTTTGCTGCAATGGCATACTGACATGACTTTGTTTTCTGTTTCCTTGTAATAATTTCTAGAATTTTAACAGCTTTTTGATCATCCGTGAAGCACTGAGTTGATATTTTAGCAAGCTATGTATTATAATAAAAAACTCTCAGTCCTGAGGGGTAAGCTCAGTCAGCTCAGAGCCTATCAGTGTATATATGAAAGTAGGATTTGGTTTCACTTTGAACACCACTTTCTCTACACTGAATTTGGCCTGCCATTTTGCTTTCTTGTCAGGCAGTTTAAGAAAGTATATCTGCAGTTCTTTAAAGCAGAGGTTGGTTTTCAACTATCCAGAATAACTTAATATTATTGGCAAATATTGTTGCCTTGATTTTTACCCAGAGACAGCTAGAGGCAATGGTTAGTGTACCTTGAAACCAGAATTCATCATGTCTGAAAAAGTCTTAGCAGATGGCGGGACGGCAGAAATAACAGAAGCAAGGTGAAATAGCTGTAAAGGCACCTCATGACAGAGGCAGGGACATGGGCTGCCTCTGAGACCCACTGGTTTAACAAGGGAATAACGACCAGCGGCAGCTCTCTGGAGCAGGTAACGACCACACAGAGGAAAGAGTACAGCCAGGAAACTCTGCTGCTTCACTTTCAGAGCCTAATTTAAACAGTGTTTTATTTATCTGTAATAAAATATGAGTTTAGGAGCAAGCTTCCTGGGAAAAGGGAGTGGAGCTCTGTGTGAAAAAGGATTAACCCTCCCCTCCAAGCAAAACGTTTCCAGTAAACACTTGCAGAAAGTGGTGGGAGAGGGAGGAGAGACCACCCTGGTTGGAAAGCAGGGGAATAGCTGTGCTAGGAGTCAAGCGGGGGGCAGCCATGGCCCAGGCGAGCCCCAGCTGCAGGCAGCCTCGGTAGACGGGGGGCTGGCGAGGGTCCCGGGCGGGAGGAGCCGGAGGGGCGAGGGGTGCGGAGCCCTGCCGCCCGGCTGCTGTCGAGTCCTGGTCACTCAGAGCATCGCTCCCTAGGGCAGCTCTTTCTTGCCCTCTACATTAACACTTGTCTCACCACAACAACCGTAAAGCATTCACTGGGAAGTGTTCAGAAAAATAGCTTTCTGTTAAAAGAACCCAGAAGTCCAATTTAACGGTTGTTTTGGCACTGATTTGCATTAAATTTCGTGCCTTCCAAGGGGGAGGAAAACAATGCCAGAATGAAAAAGACGGACATTTTTAGAACAGAATGATTATTTTTATTATTTGAACCATCTTTTCATTTTGAAATACATCTTATTAAAATGAAAGGGTCAGCTGAAAACAAATTGACTTCTTTTTAATATTTTATCAAGTTTCTCCTTGATGTTTTAACTTCTGTCCTTTCATTTGCAGCTGAATGAATCTCAAGCATTTTCTAGGTGGAAAAAGCTGTAGTCTAACTAGTTCTGTGGTTGTATCAAATACATAATACTGGTCTTAAATGCACCATGTGTGCATGTGTGTGTGTGCATATGTGTGCGCTGGGGGGGGCTTTGCCAGTACGTATTGAGTAGATCTTGTTTTAGTCACATTAGTAAGTCCTTACAATAGGTTATTTAATTTTTTTGCTGTTTGTTCGGAACAGCGAAATACTGGGTTTGTTTTTCTACAAATCATTCTCTTTGTAGCTCCTCCGACCAAGGCTCATCCTGTCCCAAATTCCTGTCATTAGTCTTATCAAGCTCAACTTCCTCTTCACATTATCAATCTAAAATCTTGGACATCCACAGATGCAATGGAAAAAAGCACCTCAGCACTGGTGTTGTTTTTATAGCAAGTGGACTTCCTTCTTCGAGAGAAAGACTTGTAAGCTGCGTTTCTTAGTGCCCGGTTCAGAAAGATATATGCAAAAGGCTTTTTATTCTAGGAAAATTCTTGTAACACCTTTTGTCTTGTTCCAGGTAAAATTAATGCTTAACCAGTGGGAGTCTTGTCCGCAAGGAGATCTGCACCTACCCTCCAGGTGGACTGACCTCCCCTGGAGGCCCATTACCTCAGTTTGTGAAAGCGAGGAAGTTATTCTGACTTTACGGTTGAACCAGTCTTCTTACATGTTTGTGAAGTGTCACACAGCTCAGTGGCACCACATAAATCATTAACAGTACTAATACTTAGCAGAGCGGCAGCCTGAGAAGTAGCACTATGACTGGGCATGTAGAGCTTACAAGCATTTGTTTACATTATACTGCTATTTTAAGGCATTACATTTATTAGCAGTTTTTGGCTGAAAATGAATTTTCGTGGGTAGGAAGGAACCAGCTCTGCAAAACCAAGCATAGCTCTGAAGGAGGCTCTGACGGGTGAGCTCTGGTACAGAGTCACACAAGCCATTGCACTAATTTTCTCTTGCTATTATTTACTGCTGCACTTTTAACACTACAGGTCCACTACAGGGTCTCATTTCTGGACAGGGAGGGTCCTGTAACCCGGTCCAAGTGTCCTACAGTAACCAGCAGTGTGAGGGCTTTACTGTTCAGTCTACACTAATCTACACTCTATACGTGCCATAAATAAGTCTGCGCAATTCTTTAAGTGTTGGCTGTGGATTAAGTGAAAAATACTTGCTGAGTTTATAAGAAAATCTATGATATTTTCATAGGATTAGAAAGGTAGAAGTTGCCAGGTTTTATGATGAAATTAAGGAGCCTTAGTGAGGCAGACAATAGAGTTAACTCATTTGTAATCAGGTAAATCACCCTGGGTAGTCAACTAGTCAG